TATCAGAGGGATCTTTCTTAAATTTTATATGTAGGTTCCCCTTGGTCCTAGCTGTCCAGGGCAATTTTAGAGACTGATCGGATAAAAACATGGCCGACAGGCAGCCATCTTGGATTTTGATAGAGACGGTTTGTTATCGCTATTTCTCGGGAAGTATCAGAGGGATCTTTCTTAAATTTTATATGTAGGTTCCCCTTGGTCCTAGCTGTCCAGGGCAATTTTAGAGACTGATCGGATAAAAACATGGCCGACCGGCAGCCCTCTTGGATTTTGATAGTGAAGGTTTGTTATCGCTATTTCTCGGGAAGTATGGGAGGGATCTTTCTCAAATTTTAAATGTAGGCTCCCCTTGATCCCTCGTTGTGTATGTTATATTTTGAGTCTGATCATAAAAACAGAATGGATTAAAAGAGGAACTAAACAGATCTTTCTCATATTGCAATGATCGATTCTATTTCTTTCACATTAAGTACTGTACTAGTAAATATGTAAAATGACAAACTCACTTTGAAGGTTGGCTTTCATACACATCAGTATTAAGTTTAGATCAAAAGTTACCTCAAGGTGCATTTACTGTTAACATGACTCGATCAAACAGATTAGAGGAAAGAAGAGAAAAGATCGAACTGACAAAGAACTAATGAAGATGGTACAAAGGGGGGCGCCAAGATCCCTCTGGGATCTCTTGTTATTTTACCCCCTTTATTTACCTGTGCTCCGCGGCAACAGGATCTGCGCCGGCGGTCAGTTAGGCCTTTGATCTAACAGAGTAGTAGCCTGTCGACCACTTTGAGCTGCCGCGGGCGGTGTTAAGCATCACAAGGTAGCTCTGTTCATGAGTGAATACTTGTCTGTCGGCAGCCCGCCTCATAACAACGTGTCTGTGCTTTGTTCACCTATGATCATTTGGTGTAATCAGAATAAAACTATGGAATTGTGCCATGTTCGAATTTACTTCGGCCATGTCTGTTGAAATATGTTTGCTTATTACTCTATTTGTAATAAAAAATATATTTAAATAAATAGGTCTGATGGTCTAAAATACCTGTTTATTAAATACTCGATGAATGTTCGAAATAAACCAGACTCGTAATGTCTTGGTAACAACCAAGTGAGATTTATCATTCACTCCATCAAATTTAGCTAGAACAACAACAATGTATCTAAACAATCCGTGTAGTTTTTAAAAGCATAATACTAATGGTGTAAATGCTTAGATCTATGTGTTGTTCTTAATTCGATACATTTATGAGATTAAACAAATAACAAAGCAATTGGATTTGTATGCATATCAGTATTATAATGATATATATATATGTTATTGGTTAAATTCAAAATTATACAGTTGTGTACTGATAAACAACAAAGACGTTGATGTTAAGTTTATGCGTATTTAGTCATTGTATACCATATATAAGGAAAGCATAACATTTTATTACGTCATATCCTATTCAATGTTGAATGTTTATTAACCTTAAGCCTTGCAGCTCGTAAGTATCGCATGCATACAGCATATATACGGTAATGTACAACTCATTACAGCAATGCTAGATCAAATAAATTAATTAGCAAGCTTGTACATTATTTATTAATTGACGGACAGTTGATTGCTACTAAGTGTAACTCATATAGCTTGGAATCAATACACCGATCATCAGTTTTTATTGTATTTTGTTTTTATTTGTTTTTTTATCACTGTATGATATCGGAGAGAGATTATACCCTCACGATATATTCCCATCTCTGATGTGAGGTGCTCATCATCGCCTTGATTTCATCCTCACCGCTATCAATCAGTCTCTGGATATCACCCCAGATTTTGCTCTCTTCTGAAGTCTCGGTCAGCATTAGAGCTTTCCGAAACAAGCTCACTTTAGCGTCCACATCCTTAAGTTTTATCTTTCACTGCTGGAAGTAAGAGGAGATCTTTTTTTCCTCCTGCTCCGACAGACACCCGTCGGTCATGTGTTTCAGTAGTGAGGGATGCTCTACCTTACAACCAGGACACATTTCCTTCGCTACAGTCTCCACCATGTCCAACATGGTGTCCGCCAACACTTCCATCAACAGCTGTTTTCTTTTCCCGTCCGTACTGTCTGGCGTTGATCGTCTCAACAGTCCTCACAAGGTTATCCACTGCGCGGGCCTTAGCGTTATCCCGTACCGCGTGGGATTTTCCGGGAGGTCAGTACCTCCCATGAAGTATACCCTGTTTATCAGGGTCACGAAGGCGTTGATGAAACTCGATCTGATGCGGTCGACGGACGCAAAACGGTTCGGCGATATACGCCACGCCCTCTTCGTCGTCGCATGTCAGCTCGTCACCAACTCGATCTGCTCGGAGACCTCGGAGACCTCCTCCTTCACCAGGCATAGTGCCTCCCACTGGTTCGCCCGTTGTCAGTATAATGTGACCGGGTGGGGCGTCCTGCTGGGTGTCTTCGGCAGTATGTTTCAGTGGGGTAGCACTATAAAGTCGGCATCAGTTCCGCGCTATCACAAGGAGACAAACACGAACATATCGCAGCCTCCCAAAATACACACACATA